AACTAGTCAATCATCATGAAATTGTACAAGCAATAATGTATGTCCATCTATTAGTTACATAGGATTTCGTATGGTATGACGTAGGGGACCTTCCCGGTGTGAGTGGTTCAAACCTTACAGTCTGGTCTCGGGGTTGACATCTTTGACGAGGTGATACTCACCTGTTATGTCAATCCTTCCACAAATGTGGTAAATCGTCATAAAATAGAATAGAATTTCGTAGGAGCTACATAGAATTATGATAACAGTCTTCATAAGCTCTCTGACCCAAAGTTCGTCGGAAGTTGGTACCGCCCCCCGTCCCCGACCCAGTGCTGACGTCACTCGTGAAGGAAAAGCACGTGCCAACATGACAGCTCGCGGGTCATCAGATAGCTGATGATGAAGACCGAGAGATTTGGTCCAAAATTCCGGCGAGTCAAATTCCTTTACTTTCAGAAGAGATTCCTTCCCATTATCATGAAATTGTATATTTTCCTATCCTATATACTATATCAGGTCGGTTTCCAATGAAAACAAAGTTTATGGAGTCATTCAAAGAGAGAACAAAGACCTACGGGAGGATTTACCGGGAAAAACTCGGCCCGATTGACTTCGTGGTCATCAGCGATCCCAGGGAGATCGAGAAGGTGTTCCGCAATGAGGGCAGATATCCCAAGAGGCGAACTCTTTTCACCGTTAAAAAGTACCGTGAACTGAAGAAATTGCCGACTGGAATAGTAAACCTGTAGGTGATACCGTTATGTACTTATGCTGTGTGTGTGTGTGTGTGTGTGTGTGTGTGTGTGTGTGTGTGTGTGTGTGTTTGCGCGTGCGTGTGCCTGCGTGTGTGCGTGTGTCACGGTGCGTGTGCGTGTGTGTGTATGTGTGCGTGTGTGTGTATGTATGTATGTGTGCGTGTGTGTGTGCTCACGCGCTCATGTGTCTGTCTGTATGTATGTATGTCTGTCTGTCTGTCTGTACTCATGTCAATCGCACTTTTATCCCTTTTTGTTTTGTTTTTTTTTTTCAATATTTTGCAAAAGTGATTGAAAGCCATACTTTACAGGAGGGCTCAGATTTGAAATGGGATTTAGATCCGATTTGTTTCCAGAGAGGGAGAAGAGTGGCAGCGCGTGCGCAGCTCGGTGCAGAAGGACCTGATGCGGCCCAAGACGGTCGGCGCGTACGCCCCGCTGCAGGATGACGTCATCAGGGACCTGGTTGACGTCATCCGGGCTCTGACAGGGAGGGACAACAGCGGAGGGCAAGTTCACAACTTCACCAACTACGCGTACAGATGGGCACTGGAAGGTGAGTAAGAAACTCAAAAGGACATCCAAAACGAAGAGCAACAATCTTGCACCTTGTAATGATGGATGAGATGATATCGTTGTTTATTTCGGGTTCGCAATTAAGTTTTACGCTAGATATATATAATGTGAGTTTGGTATCGTATGTTAGGCCAAGGGTCTTAAGTTGACCTGCATTTGAAAGAAAGAAGTCCTCCATTACAGCTTTAGGTTGTATTTTTGATTGCTCAACTGTTCCCATGGCTCTGTCCATGCTTCATTTAGCTTGAAGAAGACCAGAGGTTGGATCGAACATTCATGACAAGTTCCATTGGGTGGAGCAATTCTTAGTACTCGTATGTGGGGAGGATTCCAACTCTTCGATGGTTGATTGTGTTAAATTTTGCCCACCTAGCGATCAGCGTGGTTGTGCTGGACAAGCGGCTCGGGTGCCTGACCTTGGATGACCTTGAACCGGATTCTGACGCGCAGCTGATGATCGATGGGGTTCAAGCCTTATTCCAGGGGTTCGCGAAGCTGGAGCTGTCGACGGTCGGCCTGTACAGGTACATCAGCACCCCAACCTGGAGGAAGTTTGAGAAAGGAATCGACCAGTGGCACTAGTAAGTATCTGATTTTTTTTTTATTTCAACATTTCAACATAGCAACACATAGTGGTGATGCACTCAAGCGAAATAGCTCAAATTAACGTCACCGCTTGACATGAATAATGATTACAACACAAGATGAACAGGAACAGAACTTAACAATAAAGGTGATGTTATGTGAATACAGTATAAATCAGTAAAGAAATCACTTGGAATCAGGTTGGAACAAAAAATTTTGGGAGCTAGTTTTCATGTACTCACGGCCTTCTTCTTATGTGCCAACATTCCGAAATTGGCCCATTTTATGGAATCGTATATTGATATTTGTGGTACACTGTACTTCTGTGGCTGTCACTTGTCCGAGTGCGTCAGTTATATGGTAATATTTGTGACGTAAATATTGGCATGAAACCCTAGCGTCGCTGCCAAGTTGCTGAAGGAAAAGCTGGCTAGAAGCAAGACTGAAGAAGGAAAAGTCACCGAGTCGGACACGGACTTTCTCCACAGCCTCCTCTCCAGGGACGACGTCACGTTCGAGGAGGCAATGCTGATGGCAGTGGACCTCCTGGGTGGTGGGATCGACACGGTACGTTACACTAACAGGGACCCCGCCCGGGGCCCCGCCGGGTAGTTTACGAGCGTTTTGTTTCTCATCCCATCTGGTTGGAGTCTTCTGTCTTCTAATCTCATCTATCCCTGATCTAACTATTTGACCGTTTGGGCACCGCAACTGTTCTCTACACTTTTCGCTTTTCTGTTCTTTGTAACGTTTTAGTGTCATTCTGGACCATTCTCTGATATCATCACCTGGTAGTTTAACGTACATTTTCTTTCTTATCTCATCTAGATAGTCTCATCTATCATTTGTCTAATCATTCAACTGTTGAGGACCACTATTTTTCTACTGTTTCATTTCATTTCATTTTTATTTATTTATCCAGGGGTAGCATATCGCCAATGTTATAATATAATAACAGAAAAATCATAATCGTCGTGATAATAAACGAAACAGGACAAATTAATAACGTAAAGAAAACAAACTAAATAAATATGACAAATGATGTAAATGATATTGATAATGGAACTGAATTTGCATATCAATGTTTATGTACAAAATACAAAATAAACAAATGTGGTCTTAAAAACACAGAGAGTTTTTGCATTTCTGACGTGAAGAGGAAGTGAGTTCCAGAGGACTGCACCGGAAAAAGAAAGCGATCTCTTTTTGTACTGCAAGCGAGCTTTTGGTAGCTGGAGTCCCCCTTTGTGCTTAGTCGGATGTTGTGTGTGTGGGTACTGGCGGATGTTGTGAATAGTTCAGAGATGTGTGGAGGTGACATTCCATGAAATGGAATCTGTAATCGATCTATTGATTTGTCTATTATTCATTTGATTATCTACTTATTTTAGACGGGGAATGCCCTGATGTTTAACCTCTTCTGCCTGGCGAAAAATCCCGAAGTCCAGGAGAAACTTTACCGTGAGATCACAGAGGTGGTTCCGCCCGGGCAGTCCATAGACGACAAGACGCTGAACAGGATGCGCTACCTGCGCGCTGTGGTGAAAGAAACTTTCAGGTAATATCAGCAAAGTTCTTTTTAATTTACAACCAACTACTCTCCAAGCATAGCCTGAGTGTCAGCCTTTTTAGCTTTCGTCCGCTCCCCACGATCCGCTACCCGGCCTGAAGAGTACAACCAACCTCTTCTTTAACTGGAGCTTTCGAGGATTGTCGATCTGTCATTGCCCAGATAAAGATGACAGACGGTCAACGAAACGTCAACGAACTTTGCTATTCAATCATTCACCAACCTTATATGCCCCTTAGTGGCATAGCTATTAAGTTATATGCTATTTTGAAATATGCTTTTTGTAATTTCCATAATACATGTATAAGATATTTAATGCTACGTCAGAAAGATGTAAGTAGTTTGTCAGACAAGAGCAAGTGAAGGTTTTGTATTTGCTTTGTAAATGTTTCTATTATAGTTTTCTAATTTTTATTCGAAATCTTCCAGAGTTTATCCAAGTGTCAGCGCCAACATGAGAGAGTTGAACCGGGACATTGTGTTGTCGGGATATGTCGTTCCAGCAAAGGTATGAAGACATTACTTACTCAGTTATCCTCTTCATCACTTGCGAGACATAATGCCGAGACTTTTCCCTTCCACCTGGGTCTGTCCTCGGCCAGCTTTTTCACTGCTCGCCAGGGCTGTCCCAGAAATGAAGAAATTACATCATGAAATTAAAGGTTTTACCCCTCCGTCAAGTGTTACGATTTGTGAAGTTCTTATATATAATTACTTTATTTGTAATAGACCGATCAGGAACATTTGATCTATTGTAAATTTCTTGCCGATTCTGTGCTTATTCCTTTGTGCCAGCCTGAGGGGAGGCCATTGACCTCCAATCCAACCTTCGTTATGTCAACGAGTGTTCGGCTCAGACCGAAGAGGTCCCGGGTTCGAATCCTGCACGATGCCATCAGCTGTCCCAAAGGGGTGGGGGGCACTTCTCAATGTCCGGGTAGAATTCTCGCATGGTTCCGCTGTATAGGATTTTTCATTTTTAATAAATTGAGACTTTAGAGGTTGGACTACCCTGCCAATGTGTGTTTTTCAAGGTCTAAAACTCAGGTTGACTTTCGACCACGTTGTTCTGACATGGTTCCCATATATTAACATAGGAAAGCCAATTACTAGACTGTGCCCTGTTCCTCTATACAGACACCGATCCTGATGGCCAATGACGTCATCAGCTCGCTTCCGGAATACTATCCGGAACCGGAATCCTTCAAGCCGGAAAGATGGCTCCGCGATGACGTCGCTTCAGGTGGCGTCCAACCGTTCGCGATGCTGCCGTTCGGATACGGGCCGAGGATGTGCATCGGTACGGGTATATTATTTGTATTATATGTATATGGACAGTTTAAATTCAGAATCGTTGTGTTTCTTTTTCATTAACTGTACTTCAATTTCTTATGCTTGCTTTTGCGTGCATTTAAAAATCGAAAGCCTTAAAGTTAGTCATTTTCGATTTTATATATTTTTTCAAGAAGAAAATGTCCAGGGAAATCCTTTGTGTCAGTCAGTGTTTCTTTTATCTTTTTAACGTTCACGTGTCAGCGGTAGAAGATGTTACCTGAACCACTACAGAAAACTCTAATATGAATGTTCTTACGTTATCATTTGGCTCGGTTCCTACCCCAGGTCGGCGTTTTGCAGAACAGGAAGTACATCTCGGGTTAATCAGGGTAGGTTACTTTGTCCATGAAGGGTTAAAAACCATTTCCGAGATTAAAGATACATTTCCGATTGACTTAAGGTTAAACCCGTTTGTCGATGAGGGGATAAAGCCTTAGAATTCTTAATCTTCATGGCTTTTTTTAACCTCTGCAAGGGGATTTTAGAGATGTTTGACTCTTATTGTGATCTTTGCTGCATGGGGATCTCTCTCTTTAACAACTTTTCATGTATTACATGTATTCACGAAAGCATATCGTACATTCATACGCTTGCTCTGTTCCAGCCTTAGTTTCATTTCATTTTATGAATTTCAGAAACACTTGTTAACACTTCAGTTCAGCATGTTGTGGTCGCAATCGGTGCATTTACTCACTACTTCTTCTTGATGTAATATAACGTTTAATAACATTGTAACTGTACCCCTGTTTATATGACACAGATTGTTCAGAGCTTCCACGTGGGCTGGTCCGGAGAAGACATGAAGCAGAAGAACAGATCAGTCATCAACGCACCGGACAGGGACAGCTTCGTGTTCCGCGAGAGAGCCGGCGCTGCATGACCTTCTTTTAATTATGGCTTGTTTTATTTCTTTGTTTTTTTTTTGTTGCCATTTTCCGACAAAATCTGTACATTTGGGGACCTGGTATTACACTCAAATCATCTGAAATTTGGTCTGGGTATGCTTTATATATCTACCAACAACAATTCATTATATTTTTTGTCATAAACTTGTATAATTTGGGACTTTTTTTACTGCTTTTGGGTCACAATTTACAATATAGTTAGGGATGACTATCGATGAGTCATCTGTCTGGCATGCACAGCAAGTAACCAATCAGCATGCAGCTTTCCTCTATTCTTCTTGCTGATTGGCTGTTGGGATATAATTGGGTTTACTCCATGAACAGCTGCACAACCCATACCACATTGAAAGTAGGTACTGCATTGAAGTGTTTTCGTAGGTATGTCAAACTTTCCTGCTCAAGCACTTTCCTGCTCAGGGCATAAACGCTTTTTTTATCTTGAAAATCAGCAGTTTACATCATGCAAATGAAAATCCTAATCAGTAATGTAGGGGATAGCTATCCAACTAAGATATTCTTTGTCATTTGTCACTTCATACTATAGTTATATCGATGTAAAACATTGTTTTCCCTTGTATTCTCCTTCGATTAATTCTTTCCCTGCCATGTCGTAAAATGTGTGGTGAAGCCATGCTGAATTTGCTCCAAAGCAAATGTCGGCCTTTCTAATTTTAAAGATACCTTTATTGACACCCCATTCACATGAAATGGGATCCAATCGCTAGACTTTGCATTACAATATTATAATGTGTTATCGCAATCCAGTCTAAACTGGGTGTTAATCATTGTTTTTCAGAACAGTAGAATGATGCGTTATTGTTCTTTGTTCCATATTATCTGAAAGTAAACTTTTCTTTCTTTTCTTGATGATGTTTGCTGAAAAGCGTTCGAAACGTCTGTAAGTCTGTTTCTTCCAGTGTTTAAACCAATAAACAATCGATACAGCGTTACCGTTGTGAACGGTCGTTTTTTTTCATTCCGTTTGAAAATCATTTTCAGGAAAAGAATCAATAAGATGTTTAATCTATTTAGATATATGTTCTATCTCTACCTGTTTGCCGTTGGAGCACACTTATTCAGCCGCTCGTGGGACTATGCGCTGGACAAGCAGTGGGTCCCTCGCGATGGCCTGATGGTCAAGTATCTGAGTGATTTCAGTGAGTTCGAGACAACACCTGAACAGCTCATCTATCCGGTAAGGACTATCTTTAGACGAGAAGAAATGTTAACGTTTTCACTGGATTTTACCCCTATACGTATTCTTTCGCAAGTCGTTGTATGTAGTCAGATTTCGCAATGACAACTGCTCTATTTAATGCAGTTATTTGGTATCACTAATTTTCTGCATAAAGACATTATTCGTTCAAGTATATACCAACACATTGCCGATTCTATGCTTACGTATATAATTACGTGCTGTCACCTTTTAAATAAGAATCCTCATTTGTCTTAACAATATTGTAATCTTGTGTACTCAATAATGATATTACTTTTCTGATCATGTTCCGATCAGAATAATTCCAATTGATTACTAATCTAAATTGATTACTAGTATGTCTACATGTACTCAAGACTGATGCTACTTTTCTGATCATCTAACCACTAAAGTAGCTCAATATGATTTTAAATCTACGTGCAGTAGAATTAATTCAAATTGTCACTGATCCTCGTCTCAACAATTTTTCCCGGTGTGTTTCTTCTTAGCCATGTCTCAATTACGTCTATCAATACAGGTAGCAAATGCGGAGATATTTGTGCGTGCTTACGTACGTCCCGCCAATGAAACCCACTACAGCCGCCTGACTCAATGCGAGCTGTACAAAGGTGTCCACAGGGACACTATGGTGAGGAGGCTGACGTCTGGGGGGAAAGACCCAGGACGGGTCAACATAGAGGCTGCACGATATTCATGGTTAGGGCTATTATTTTCTATCTCTCACATTATTGTATTCACATTTCTTAAGATTTAATGCAGCTCAGTAATCCTCTATAACATCGTCCGTTGCATCTTTCTATCTTTCATATTAACTTCCCCTTGCACTGGCTTCGTCCTTTTAAAAATCTTAGCTAGTGGCTGTCTGGTAATCTGTAGATATTTTAGAGATATTATATCATATATTACATTATAGGTACTATAGATATTATATCCTCAAGTTTCATCTTATATGTTGCATCAGCAAATTAACCATTGACCTGTTTTTATTGCTTTCATGCGTATGCTGATGACTTGCAAGGTTGTGTATATATACATCGTTCTAATAAAATATAATGGTAACACTGAGGCCGTTGCTCACTGTATGTTATATTAATGTACATGTGATGCTGCTAAGCAAGCAATATTGCTCACATATTATGAATAACATTTGGGGATTCCAAGTCTCATGCAAACCAACTTTCCCCCTCTTTCTCCCGTAGGAGTTTTTTCTACCTCGTACGGTCCTGTTTCCGCCTGAGACAGCCGAGTACGGACTTCGACGTGCCGGATAGCAAATATCAACGACAAAGCACAATGCAGATTAATAATAAGTTCTAGATGTATAAGCTCTGGGTTACGTAGATGACGTCACATTATAAACAATAATTTCTAATCATTCAAATTTCCATTGTTTATCGGTAAAACCCACAAGTTCTTTCTCCGTACAATGTATCCAGGGGTTATATAACATCTCGATATCGTGCATTTCACATTACTGTTCCATAGTACGAAAACTATGGTGTCTTCTGACCGTGTGTTCTGTTAAGGGTATATGTAAAATTAAACATAATGTTATATCAGACATCGGATTCTGCTTTTTTTTTTCTTGAGTCAAAAATTCCAATAAAGAATCATTTTTGTGAAGTTGTTTATTAAGATATAAGACGATATGATTCTCTTGTGTTTACCGGCCGTGCACGTGTTAAAACGAGTGGATATACCAGCAGCAGGCTCCCAGCTTGTAGGTAAAACGAAATATCACTAAAATATTTAAGATAGTGTTTCCCTAATTGTTGGAAAACAACCACAGGACATTTTTTCTTGTATAATCCTTTTGTATTTCTATACAAATATCAGGTATTATTTTCAAAATCATCAACATATCATTCCATCTGCGTACATCTGACGAAAGCGGTGTCTGTTCTGCGCAGGTACGTACAATAGCGACAATCAACAATGCGGTTCTAGAACGTCACAAACCAGTCGATTCGACGTTACCGTTGCGAACGGCAGTGTTTGTTTCTTCCTGCGCGAAAATTTGTCATTTTCAGCGAGAGAATGAGAAACCCCAAAGGATAACGATGATTGGCCTATTGAGATACATGCTCCACGTCTACCTGTTCCTCGTCGGAGCCCACTTGTTCAACCGCTCGTGGGACTATGCGCTGGACAAGCAGTGGGTCCCTCGCGATGGCCTGGTGGTCAAGTATCTGAGTGATTTCAGTGAGTTCGAGACAACACCTGAGCAGCTCATCTACCCGGTAAGGAACAAGAAACATCAGGGAACAAGAAATGTTTTTAGCCGAGTTTATATGTACTATGTCGAGAGGTATATGATATTTTTGTTGTTATAATTGGATTACTTGATAGAAAACTTTGATTGTGGTATGACTATTTGTGTGAGTAGTGAGTACGAGACAACACCTGAGCAGCTAATCTACCCGGTAATTAAGGAGGCTATCAGCAGGGAACAAAAATGTTTTCAGCCGAGTTTACCCGTACTATTTCCGAGGGGTATAGGGATATGTCTTAGTAACAGTATAGTGATGACTGCATTACTTGATAGAAAAGAGTTCGTTTAAAGGTTGATTGTGGTATGACTACTTTTCTAGCCTGGGTACCATCCGGATTTTCGCTCCGCAACGCTCGAAAAAATCATTTGAGCGTTGCGGAGCGAAAATCCGGATGGTACCCAGGGTACTACGAGTACTTTCCTGCATCAAGCCATCATTTCGATCTCACATTCAAACATACGGCTGACGCGTCGACGATTCAATGTTTATGTAATTGTCAGTAATGTTAGAATCTTAACTTTCGTTAACGACAATGTAATTATATCTACATGTACTCAAGACTGGTGATACTTACTTTTCTGAACATCTAACCACTGAAGTAGCTCAATATTAGCCTGAGTGTCAGCCTTGTTAGCTTTCGTCCGCTCCCCGCCAAGATCTTGGGGAGCGGACGAAAGCTGACACTCAGGCTAGCTCAATATGGTGTTGCACCTACTACTGACATTATATAGATTCTCTACAACCGTAACAAATTGCCCCTAATTCTCGTCTCATAATCTAACCAGAGACGTCCAGAGTAGCTCAATATGATGTTACATTAACGTGACAAATTACTGTTAAGAAACACACTAGTAACATTGTCACTGATTCTGGTCTCGACAGTTTTCTACTCAGTTTTGCCCGGTGTACGAGTATTTCTTCACCATGTCCTAATTATATACGTCTATCAACACAGGTAGCAAATGCGGAGATATTTGTGCGTGCTTACGTACGTCCCGCCAATGAAACCCACTACAGCCGCCTGACTCAATGCGAGCTGTACAAAGGTGTCCACAGGGACACTATGGTGAGGAGACTGACGTCTGGGGGGAAAGACCCAGGACGGGTCAACATAGAGGCTGCACGATATTCATGGTTAGGCTTTTCTTCGGTCTCTTACATTTTCTACACACTTTTCTATGTTTAGCCTTGGCTCAAGTTAGTTCAGCAATCTTCATCAAAGTTGGTGCGTTGTGTCCTTTCACCTTTCATGTTAGTTTCTTATTGGATTTTAATAAACCTTTAATTCTCTTAGCAGCTGCACCTTTTCTAAAAACCGTAATTATACAGATAGTATACATCAGTTTTGTCTTCTGTATTTTAATATTTAAAAATCAGGATGCTAAACGTTGAATATACTGGACTCTTATCTTTGTGATTATCCTTTTTATACGTCTTCTGTTGATGACTTACATAGTTGCGTATTTATACATCGTGCTAACTACGCCAACACTGGTGGTGTTGGTCGTTCGGCACGGTGTAGGGAGCTGCTGTTTTTGAGAACGAACAGTACCACACACTGCACGACATCCTACCTTTAAGCATGTCTTATAAAGTATACGAGTGAAACTTAACCTTAATGCATGCTTTAAGATAGGCGTAAAGAATATATTTTTTGCAGTGACAGCATTTGCAGAGATCCCAAGTCTCATCGAAGCGAACTCTTTCTCCCGCAGGACGTTTTCCTACCTCGTCCGGTCCTGTTTCCGCCTGAGACAGCCGAGTGAGGACTTCGACGTGCCGCCAGAGGAGCCGCCGCCTCCCTACATCCCCATCACCTGGCTTCAGCTGGCCAGGAACATCCGTGATTGGACCACGGACTACCTGCGAGAGGCTTCCTCTGAGGATCCAACTGGTGAGGGGTTTTTCAGTCCTTTGTTACGACGTCTTACCCATATTCAAACTTTTGAAAATAACTGTCTGTACATGTTACGAACGTGTCTTTACGATGCAAACAACCGTGCTCTTGTGCGTACGGAAACACACGAGTCACACATGCATGAGTAATCTCCAAGCAAGTCTGAAAAGACAGTTTCAAAGTGGCAGCAGCAACCATTTGCGAAACAGTTATCAAAGGGTGCCAAAATTGTCTGGCAAATGGATACTGCCTGCCTTTGGCACGAGACTTGTGTTTCTCGACCATTAGTTCAAGTCAGAATATTTGTTTTCCGTACCGTAACGCTCACTATGTAAGGCTCTGGGATAACTAACCGATGTTGTATGACAGACAATTGATGAATATTGTGTCTTTGCTTCTACTTTTCTCCGCAGATTCTTACACCGGACCAGGACCCCGCCCAAAGAAATGGAGCGAGTTCTTCCAAGAAACCTTCAAAAGTATGACGGCATGGATCTCATCGGACGATGAGAATGAACTTGGTTAGTACACAACTGCAATATTAAAGTCACTAGTTTATTGTATGGGTTATATATCGGCCTACCAATGATTTCATTGAACAAGTAATATTGTCTCCAAATCTTGTGTTTTCTCTCCAAATTGGCCTTGCTTTGTCAGACGTTTGAAGTTTTCATGTCTTTGAATGTGGAATCAAACTAACAGAATACTTCTGATTATACGTCTACATACTAGTTACAAGTTTGTTGGGTAGGATGTCACGTTCTGCCCGTTTATTCCTGCGCTATGTTACCATGGTTACCACAGACGCCGCCAACGCCCCGCCCCACCCAGCCACCAACACAGACCCCCCTGAGGTCACGTGGTCACACCTGTGGGGTGAGATATGCAAGAAGGCGTCCTCTGACGTCAGAGCTATCTTTTGGTCAGACACACCTGATGACGTGGTGATGACACAAGATGACGCACCCAAGACTGGTACGTATACGAACAGAGAAGCCATTTTAAAGGCGTCCAATGCAGTCCAATCCAGGGTATCGCCCATACATCATTTTTTGGTAACGTTACCACCTATGAAATAGGTACCGGTATAACCAGTCTACGATACAAAATAAGCAACCATTTTGTGTCAGTGATCATTGAATTTTTGCCTCACAGATATCAATTTGCTAAGGAAACTAACTACACGAAAAGTCTGACCAGAAAATTGACTTTGAAAATCACGTTTTACTGCTCTGAAATTTAGCGATGTATCAACGAGTTACTCCCATAAACGTTTAGTGGGTAAAGACTGTTTAGATCTCATAACTTGTCTCTCAACCGGTCACTGTCATCGCTACAAGAGTAAAACGTTTCACGGTTCACTATTAAGTCCTAATTATAATATAATGTATAACGATTGTCTCTCACTTGATTGTAAACTGTTTCTCTTGATGACTGTTACAGACCCTGCCGACCCTGAGCCCAACGGAGGTGTTTGGGCTGCACTGATGAACCGCCTGCCCTCGTCCCCGACCACACATGATGAGACACCAGACCCTGGTGGTCAGGAAGGTGAGCTGTCTAGTCATCTACGTCTAGTAGGAAGTTAGATTTCTAGTGATGAGATTTAGACTAGTAGATTTCTACCTGAGAAATAATTCTCACGTTGGAGTTGAATATGCACGAGGCGCACTTATACCGGGCGGGAATTGCGCTCAGTACATGTACGATCGGGATGTGAGCTTACATGGCTCACGATTGCGCACAGCAGGAATTTGGTGATGTCTTACGTGAAACATTTGCCGATTCTGGTGATTACAGATTAGATTTACTCTATTCTAGTAGATTTCTACCCGAGACAACAGTTCAAGTTTCGTATTAAAGTTATCCTCAATCAGGCTTTGGGAAGCGACTGGAAAGAGTAGAAATCGATGATATGCCAGGGGATTTGGTCTAGTTTGCACCTCCCGAGCATATCGCATCTGTCCATCATTCGGCCGATTTCTACTCTTTTCCGCCGCTTCCCGAAGCCTGGTAGCTACTAGTATCAGAAAGCTACAGAGACTTGAACTACCTTTTACTGATCCCATGTTTTATAATTCCCTCTCACTGTAGACTCTACCGAGCCCGGTTGGAGCGTGCCCGCCTGGATTGGTCGCATTTTCCAGGCTAAGAAGCCAATGACAGCCCAGATTCGGGCCGACGCCCCCGTGATCATCGACGATCCTCCCTAATAGCGCCTCCTTGCGAACCGAAGGATCCTCAGCGATATCCAGCTGAGATGATGATATGATACCCTATCCTTGTAGTTTTGAGGATCAGGGTACTATTTGTTGTTAAAATACACATGTCCTGCAGATTGTTTCGGACGTCCATTGGATATATACAGCTCTACTATCAACATTTTACAAAAATTGTGCTCGATCGATCTTCAAATGCTCCGTTTTGTAACGCACGCACGCCATATAATAATCTGTTATCCGCTATTAGACTTCATTTGCCATTTACGTAGGATCACTTCAGTAGGATTTGCATTGTGTAAAGAAATACTGTTATCGGTGCGCTGAAGTAGCAGTTTTGCTTTACGAAGGTTCATTAATTCCAGCATTATATAGAATTTGCATTGCACAAAGGAATGCTATCTTTGAAATCCATGGCCATGCCATATGCATGTTATATGTTCTGAACGTTTATGGCCTAGCGATACTGCAAACCGTTAGAGAAGTTTCAGGTTTTCATGGCCTATCGAACGACAAACGTTACGTTAGAGAGGTTTCCTAAGGTTTTTTATGGCCTATCGAAAGAGCAAACCGTTAGAGAAGTTTCCTAAGGTTTTTATGGCCCATTAAACTGTTATATATTAGAGAAGAAACCGTTAGAGAAGTTGGCCTATCGAAAGAGCAAACCGTTAGAGAAGTTTCCTAAGGTTTTTAAAACGGCAAACCGTTAGAGAAGTTTCCTAAGGTTTTTATGGCCTATCAAAACTGTTAGAGAGGAAAACCGTTAGAGAAGTTGGCCTATCGAAAGAGCAAACCGTTAGAGAAGTTTCCTTAGGTTTTTAAGGCCTATCAAAACGGCAAACCGTTAGAGAAGTTTCCTAAGGTTTTTATGGCCTATCAAAACTGTTAGAGAAGAAAACCGTTAGAGAAGTTGGCCTATCGAAAGAGCAAACCGTTAGAGAAATTTCCTAAGGTTTTTATGGCCTATCAAAACGGCAAACCGTTAGAGAAGTTTTCTAACGTTTTTTATGGCATATCGAAACAGAAAACCGTTAGAGAGGTTTCCTAAGGTTTTTATGGCCTATCGAAACAGCAAACCGTTAGAGAAGTTTCCTAAGGTTTTTATGGCCTATCGAAACAGCAAACCGTTAGAGAAGTTTCCTAAGGTTTTTATGTCCTATCGAAACGGCAAACCGTTAGAGAAATTTCCTAAGGTTATGTTAATTATCAAGCTCCTTGTATAGCAAATATTAACAACAAAACAATAGATGGGAGCTCCAGATTTATTTCTAGGCACAAAGATAATAACTGACTATGTTTAGTAAGTTTTTCTTAAAGATAATATATAATATATAACCATTCGACTTTTACTTCTGCCAGATACATTAAAGATAATCTGTCAGACGTCCTTCCTATATATCGACCTATACACGGTCGTCGGCTGTATAGCCGGGATTATAACATCGCGATACAACTGTATATACATATTATATAGTAGAAAGGCAACTCAATGAAAAAAGTGGTCACAGTCTTTTTACATGTACATGTTCTTTTTACAGTATAGAAATAAAACGTTCAAAAGTAAGAAATTGGTCTGTCATTTTTCTTTGATGAAAGTAGTAATGAAGACGTGAAAATAAGGTCGAAGAAGTTCAATTTTCGCACTGAAAGCTAGCCTCCTTCACTTGTTGGTGGGCGGCGTCATTTTATTTGAGCGACGCGAGTTATTCCGCCGATCCGCGGAGGGACGATTTTCCCTAGCCTCCATTTCAGGCGTTCCCGGATATTTTTTTTTTTTTGGGGGGGGGGTATACGTATTTTCTGATCAAACGTAGAACGCACGCAATAGAAGCTCCGGCTGGCAACCCTACATCCACGGAGATATGTAGTTTTGCCAGCCGGAGCTTCTATGGCAAAACTCCGAGGGAGTTTATTGTGGCAAAATTACTTTTCGCGCCCCCAACAAACTCCCTCGGCGGCAAAACCGTCCCTCCGCGGCATAACTCTCGTCGCTCACCGAAAAAAGATTAACGCCGCCACCCAACAAGTCTGCGAAGGAGGCTGAAAGCCGCGTTTGCGGAGGAGGAAGAGCGGAGCTGTATAGGCCATTCAGGTTTTGGCCTGATATCTATTATTAATGATTGCCGTGACCGCTTTCTGACAGCCGTCCGCCAACCTTGGGTCAGAATGCGGGGCAATCAAAAGGGGAACACTGCCCCCTTCTGAAGGTCAACCTCTCCTTGAAGACAACAGAGGGAACTGGCCCTGCCAGGCAACCATGACCCAACCACGGGAGATGCTCTAGTTTAATAGACACCAGATGTACACTACCACTATCAGTTCTCAACACATTAGCTGGCCAAAATGATCATTAACAGGTAGCTACAAGTATTTTTGGTCATTTGGTTATAGGGTGCTGGGAAAGAGAGCATGTTCATGTTACGCCCAGCCGCCCCTTAATTAGGCCAAGCACTCTCGATAAGTGTGCTGCTGGACTATGTATAGTAGGGCTTTGACCCACATAAACCGGACTTCCCTACTCTACAAGGATCTGCAGCTCCGATAGGTGGCGCTGCAGCGCGGGTTAATGACCCCGACGGCCATGTTGTTGTAGCAGCCGCTGCCAAGATGTGCTCCTGTCGCACGATGGTCGTCTGGTAAGAAAAGCGTCCTGGAGGACAACAGGGACGCCTTCTTGGGTGTAGGTAAGTACCGAAGTGTTGCCCTGTCATGTGATGATGCCGAATTGGTGGTCTACTGATGCAGAAACGTCTTGAAAAAGCGCTGTCTCTCCCCACACGCGATACAAGCTGTAACCCACAGTCTTACATAATATCTCTGTTGTCCTTGAGTGGTTTTTCGAGCATATAAGAGACGCGGATGTTCTATTTTTATCCCGCAGCCGCGCTAGCGATACTGTAGCCAAGGAGTCCGCATATTTTCAACGATTGTCGCGATGTCCTTGAGTACAAAACGGGGAGAAATTGTTGCAACTGGCAACTAGGTCAAACCGCATTCTGGGCGGGTTTATTCTGTTGGGTCACGGTGACCTCAGTACGCCACCCGGACTTCGCGACACCATGTAGCGTTGTTTACTATATCCTTACAACTGTGGGAAAGATTGACACATTGACTGAAACGTATGCCGTCCTGCAGTTTTAAAAGCAGGTGACCTCTAAAACGCTGGGCTCGGGTTTTGCTGACCCTTTGCCAGGTGGTCAGGCATGTCCGGACGGACGCGGACTGTTTGCGTAGTGACCAGTAAACCTGCAAGTTAAAATGTCACCAAACTGACCACGTAACCATGTCACAACCTGACGTTAACCTGTCAGCGTTCTTACAACAAATTACACGATCATTGATATTGAAAGTACACAGACAATAAGATTGACACACCCCTGACACAGTGCACGGGGAGATCGGGTTGTCAACTGGTTGTTAACAGAAAGATATCATACATGTGTCGGGTTTTTAGTACTGATAATCCCTACATTAGAACCGACGAAAGGCCAAAAATCGGGCCGAATCAATGCAGTCCGCCCATTAGTTTCCCGGCCGTTTTCCGACACATACACGACGAACGTCGGCCACGTATCGGTTTCCCCCATAGGTCACCAGAGGTCATAATATGCGTTACATCCTGATTACCCAAATAAATGTAGCATAGGTTAGTCATATGAATTAGGCATTCGATTCAATTTTTTTTTTGCTTGTTGATTACTATTAATATAAGCTTTGCCTAAATACAAAATACAGTCAACTGATATCGATGATAATGAAGACCATTGAAATGGACACTTTCGAAACACTTGAAAACTTTTAGCCTGATTAAAATTACGGTTGCCGGCCGCCCTGCGGGAAGGGGCCACTAAAGCTGCGGACGGCAGTGTTTGCGTTACACAGACTAGAAAACTTTAGGTTGACCAAGTTTACCACCTTCTTCGCAGATTGGTGTGGCGGCGCCATTGTTTTTGGGGTGGGCCGCTGATCAACACGAGTATCGCCGCCCAACAAACTCCCTCCGCGGGCAAACTCCCTCCGCGGCCAAACTCCCTCCGCAGCCAAAACCCGCATCGATCAGCTTCCCCCAACCCCCGAAAAAATAATGCCGCCGCCGCACTGGTCTGCAAAGAAAGCCAAGAAGCAGCACAGATTTCAGGATATTATTTGAGAAATTCGTATTAAGCGTCACTTTTTACCTCAAAGCGTCATTGAACTGCTTTAGTGGCGGTGGCTTTCAAGAATATCAGATTACACCGAATGGCGGTGACGCAGAGCAAACCAGCACTGCAGCAGCTCTGTAAACGGCAGATCGACACAAAAACGAACCTACCTTGCCTGGTCTGTTAAACATCATTCTTCCACTGCCTCACGGACCCTGCACAAGTCTTCCCACACAGTTGTCGCCTTTGCTAACTATAACTAGGCTACTGTGCGTTCTTTGGCACTTATTTTCTATGCTACATAATGATACTCGATAGACAAATAATACTATTATATTTCTTTTTCAGGAAACAGCATGCTGTATCGAGAGCCGACCGAAGCAAAAACAATACACACTACCTGATTGGAGATAGCACAAAAAGAGCTGCAGGGCGGCTGATGCAAGGACTAGCCCTACAAGCCTTAAAATACGTTGTTGTTGTTGATGTTTTTTTTTACATACATTTGCAACAGCTGCCTGTGTCCCACGTGTAGTGCATTGTTAATCAAATCAAATCAAACTGTAAGGTTACCCTGTAAAAGTACAAACAACACTTGGGAGAGATAATCCCTTTGTCGGTGTGATAGAAATTTCTCGTAATTTATAATTGATAAGTATAAAAAATTCATTCAGAGGAAAGGCATAAAAAAGAGATAAGGAGGAGGGAAAAAAATATAAAGAAAAGACCTGTGCTGGGATACGATCCTACGACCTCTGGATCTCGCAATATTCACCAATGTTCTTGCAACCATCCCGCTGAGCCATGGCGAACTCCGTACTTTGCTTATGCAAATATTACACTATTGACGTGGCGGTTCGAGTTTCTTCAAAGGAAATGGAAAGTAACAAATGTTTGAAATTCACCTATGTCGTATAATAGTTACTATTTATTCCTGAGGTTAATCTTGTACGCCATATGCGACGTTTATCATGTCATTCTGTATTGCGCTTTGTTCTTCAAGTTGAACACGGCGACCGTCATTTGTAGCGCGCGCGCGAGTGGCTCAGTCGGTAGAGTCGCTGCCTCCTTGCCTTGCTTTGCGATACGTGGCTGCCAGAACGGCGCCAGTTCGAATCCCATGCTATGCTATTATTGTCATGATTGATATTGTGTGATTGACTTATGTTCCAGTTTCTTGTACATGTTTCAGGAGTCCTAAAGACGGAGCTACCAT